TAATTTTGATATATTAGAATTAAAAGAAATTTCCTAAGGCCAAATGCTGCCATGTTTTAAGAAATACGCCTTGGTTATTCCAAGAATAATTTTGCTTCAGGGACCTAATTAAAGTTATCAAAACTGTAGGCTCTTCTGGATGCTAAAGATGCAATATATTTTGCCCATACCTCTACAGGTTATTATTTTGCAGGGATTTCATTTTATGGATTGAAAAAAAAGAAAACCTTCAACCAAGGGGAAGAGTTTTAGAAGATCACATCATTCTAAATGGCAAATGAAAAGCACAAAGCTATGTAACTGTGAAGACTTGTCGTGAAAAGAAGCAGGTTTGCTCATGGACAGTTGAGAAAAAAAAATGCCAAATAGGTTTGCTCATGAGATGCTGCCATTTTCAATGCTTTGAGGTTTAAGACGCGGTAAGCACAGTTCACATGAGACATAATCAAGAGCCAGTTGTTTGTTTCGGTTGCTACAGAATTATGGGGTGTCCCATATGGGCCAGCATCTTGTACATTTGCAGATATGGCAATTATCCTGCGAGAATCCTGACATTGTGCACTTCCCCCCGGAAGAAAGGGAAACAATGATAGAAACATTGATGACAGCCTTTCACGTGCCTCAGTCCTCATGGCTGCAATTGTTTAAGGTCTGAGCAACCAGAGTGGCCAAAGAGCTGGAGAGACAAACTGAGAAGGTGTTACACGTGAAACAGGACACGTAAATAAAACAGCTCTACGGTGACACCTGTCAAATTATCTGTCAGCCTGATAACTGGGTGAACCTTCTGACATATTTCAGTTAGCCGGGTATTTTACTTGCAGAGGAGATTTGAGCAGCTTGACCTTTATCATTTCATAATGAGCGGAGAATTTGCCTGGCACACCATGATTTCTGTTACGTGGCTTCGAAAAGCAAAGGAGAGAAAAAGAGAGAGAGAAAAGTAAAACCACATTTGTCTCTTTCCCTGTGGAAGTGTCCCCAAGTCAGCCTGTGTTATATGGTCCAGCAGACGAGACCCCAGCCTGACCACCAGCAGTCAGGTTGACAGACAGCCTTCATGAGCAGAGGAGGAACCTCTGGGATCTATGATTACAGAAGCTAAAAGTCCCAGATTTTTTCTAAAATAAGTTGGATTTGATTTTTTCCACAGTCTAGTGCAGGAGCCAGTGATCGGTAAGAGTCAACAGGCTTTGTAGACAGCACAGTCTCTACATCAACTATTCAGCCCTGCCAGTTGGAAGCAGCCACAGCAACGGTAATGAGGACCTGCGTCTGTGTGTCGGGATCTCCTCGTTTTACAAAAACAGGCAGCAGCCCGGACTTGGCCAGGGGACTGTGGCCTGGTCCCTAGCGCAGCAGTGGGCTGGCTCCATGTATCTGATGCCGGGGTTCTTGTTCACGGAGTCGAAGAATGAACTTCGTGAACAGACGAGGCAGGAGATTTACAGAGGGTTTTTATTCAGATAGAGAGAGAGAACTTTATTCAGGATAAGAAGAAGTATGGAGCTCCCTGCACGTGCAGGGAGGGGCAAGGTTGCCATTTGGGGTCTCAGTATACAGGGTTTTATGCCTGCTGCGGTGGGAGTTTTCTATAGATTCAGCCAGAATGCTAGTTATATTTTAACCTATGTCTGTGAAGGTTTCCCGGATACTCTATTGTAAGCTAATGGGCCTACGAGACTGCCAGCAATGAGCTGTTGTATACCACTGGGTCCTGATGGGGAATAATAAATTGTTGCATTGTTTCCATTTCAAGCACCCTGTTTTGTAAGATTTTGTCCTTTTCCAGGGCCCACACTGTAGTCTAACTGGGCAGGAAGTATGCCCTGCTACCTCCCTGTCTCATATCTACAGCTTCAGAGGTGCCACCAGCATTGGGGTTTGGGGGAAACCTCTAGGTGTGACAACTGTGGTATTTTGCTTCAAACCGTCAGGGAAAAAAAAACCATAATAACAACAGGTCCTTGTTTATTTGCTGTTTTGCCTTGCAGATTCCATCTTCCTTGCTCAGACGAATCTACAGCACATGTGCTTTCAGGTACATTTTGAGGCAAGGTTGCCTGAAAGGACCCGAAATGAGAGGACAGTCATGATCCTGGCTTTGCCAGACCTAGCGAGAGACCCAGGCACTGCACAGCTGCTTCTCATCCCTCAAGCCCTTTGCTGTCCCAAGAAACAGCCCCAGCCCCTGCCTCTGCCAGGGACCCAGAACAGCACTGACTCCCACAGCCCTGCATTCACATCCCCCAGCACCACCCTGGGAGAATCGGGATCCATTTCACAGGCTGAGAATGTATGTATTTTGCATTTGAGGGACTGAGATTTTTTTTTCAAAGCAGCTCTTGTCTCCAAAACTAAATCCCTGGAAACTTCTGATGCTTTCTAGAAAAGCTGGCTCTTTTTGGCTGTTACCCACCTTCCCTCCGTCCATACTGATTAGAGCAAAATTGTTAGTTTCACATTTAATCATTTGTTTCTCAAAGCTCTTGAGTACCATGAAAAAACGATCAGCATGATTCTTCCGACGCTATGCTTCAGAACGATGTCTTGCTGTAACCTCAAATTAATTCTAATTTGTACAATTTGGATGTTAATAAAATAATCGCAATTATGAAACTGGCATACAGGGAACCTCAGACCTCAACATTCTTCCCCTTCACCTCTCCTGCCCATTAGTAGCCACACACTTAGATCCTTAATTTCAGCTCTCTTGGGCTTCCTCATCCCCCATCTGGGACCCTTAATGAAAAAAAGCCCAGAGCCCTCAACTTCCAAGGTGAATGAGCTACGGCCTGGCCTTGTTTAAGAACCAAGGCTTGTCATTTAGCCTCTGAAAGCTCCCAGCCCATCCAAACGGCTAGGCAGTCACGTTCCAGAGAGAAGCAATGAATAGAAAGGGCTTTGCTCCTCGAACCCAGGGAGTTAGAGTTTTTAAGAGGCTGAAGGAGGCTTTTCTAGCCATGATGGAGCAATTTAAATAACAAGGGTCAGGATTAGCCCTTTATAGAATCGAGGTGGAAAAAAATCCATGCAGGCAGTGAAATGAGAAAGGTAGATGAGCATGCATCCTCTTACAACAGATCCATTTCCCATCTTGCAAAGCACACACAGCATGATTATACTGCCTTCCCCTGACCTGTATACACTCTTCCTCCCGGCCACAAACACACAGGCGCCTCCACAGATGAAAACTGATTTTAATATAGAAACCCCCGTATCTATAATTCATGCTCTTTAGCCTTTACATATTTATTCTGCATTTTAATTAAGGCCAAAATCTGAATACTTTAGATGGATGGTTTCTTTCTTCTTCTATGCATAGCTTATAGGCCAACTACCTGGCAGAAGTCCAAATGTTAAGCAAACACAATAGAGCCCGAGACTAGAGTAAGTAGGCTATTATATGGACACCACCAGACAGGGACTGCTTGGAAAGCTCTCTGCTTTCAAAGGTAACCACTTCAAGACTGGCAGGGCTGAGGCCTCCTGCAGTCCCGACAAAATGAGAGGATAAAGCAGCAAAGTTTGGGGATGAACCGTTTGGCACACTTCTCCGTGGTGAAGCAGCAGTGGGTCCCACCTGGGGACGCCTGAGGTGGGAGGGGGCCAGGTACTAAGGAGATGGAAAGGGGCTTGGAAGATCCTGACGTGTGCCAAGAACTCATCAGCAGGACCCACAACTGAAGAGCTCACACTGGGATGATCTAGAAACACGAAGAAAAGATGTCTTATCAGAAAAGCCAGAAGCTCACACTAGACATTTGGTTGGAAAGACTGGACATGTTCATTGAAAGGAAAGGAGCGACACACAGCAGCAATTCACTGGAGAGTTCCGCTTTATTAGGGAAAGGTGCTGGGTTATATAGGAAGGGGCATGAATTGATTGAGGTGTCACTTCTACAGGGCTGGTGGCTGTTGGCTAGGTGCTGGGATTGGGAGGGGGGCGAGAGGTGATTGGGCTTCAGGTGGCGCCAGCGGGAACTGAGGACCCCGAAGAGAAGCCGGAAGTTTGCCATCTTACTGGTGGGGGCCCTTCATTCATGATTGTCTGATGCTTTGAAACCCTAGGCAGTTTCCCCATGAATCATGTATCCAGGAAGACCATCTCTCAAATGTGAAATTCTACCTAAGCCTTGCCCAAGCGGGCATCAAGGCCTCTTTTTCAATGTCCAAAGCGGGTCAAATTTGAGTCACTCCTGTTTTGTAAATAAAGCTTTATTGGAACACAGCCATGCTCACTTGTGTACATGTTACCTATAGCTGCATTCCCACTGGGATGGCAGAGTGGAGGACTTGGGACAAGACCATCTGGCCCTCGAAGCCTAAAATATTCACTCTCTGACCCTTTCCAGGAAAAGTTTGCTGACCGCTGCTCCCAAGATTGTTCCTCCAGCTTCTGCCTTTTATTTTCTTTCTTTGGGAAAAAAAGGGGCAAACAGATGGAGACATCTGGAATTCCCAAATTCTCTCCATTGTACTGAAGCAATGAAACAACTGCAGAAAATTCTTCCCAAGCATCTTCTTTGGAAACAGTTTATATTCCTTTTTCAGGATTCTTAACACTGTCCTGCTAACCACGCCCAGACTAGCTAATAGTAATGCAAACAATGCAAATTCCACAGGAAAGGTTCTGCCACCCAGTGAGTGCCTGAGGGCCAGGCTCTGGGCTAGTGCTTTATCCCCACTGACTTGTTTTAATCCACACCACCACTACGGAGATTCCACTACACCACCAATTTTACACTGCTGATAAGGGGCAGAAGGCAATTTTGAAAACCAAATCTCTCTGAGTTCAAATCCTGCCTTCTTGACCATTCTATCTCATAAGAGGCCTGAGCTCTGGCCCTCCTTCACTGTCGACAGTAACAGCTGACACTTACCCAGCCAGGCCCTGTGTTAACCTCCAAACAGACGCATAATGAGGGAGGCCGCACTATTGTGCCCATTTCTCAGGTCAGAATACGGAGACGCAGGGAGGTGAAATGACTCACCTAGGGTGACCCAGCTCATGTGAGGAAGCGCTGGGGACTTGGTTCCAGAGAAGACAGCTCAATGCTTCGCCTCTCCAGGGCTCAGCTTTCCATCTACAAAATAAGGGGTGCAACTTTTCATGACTCAGTGAGTGAAGATGAGTAACAAATAACTTTGAAGAAGTAGAAAAAGCCTGTGAGTTGCTGAACAAATCATGTTGTGGGCCCCAGAATAGACCACCGGTCCTCCCCAAACCTCCAAGGCAGCTGCCCAGGGGTCACTGTGGACATCGAAGCTCTGCCTCTCTGCCGAGTCATGATCAACATTCAACTCCACATACTGAGGTGACAGGGGAGGACTCTGCAAGGACATGTGTTTCTCTCCTTCCTCTTAGATGAACTTTCACAAATGCTCAGGGTTCTCAGATCTCCAATTAAAATGTACACTAAACAAATAAGTAAATACTGAGAGAGCAGAAAGAGGATGTAGATGACACGGTTATATTGAAGTTGTTCGTAGATGCATGTAAAAGGCATTTTTTTGCTGCCCAGAATGTATTCTGCTGTCTTTGGGAGAGTACCCCAATTTTCTCTGCAGGAACACCTCGCCCCTATTGGACCAGTCTGATTGAACTGAATCTCAGATGTGCTCAGCCCTTACCTGGCCATGAGCAGGTAAGGCCAGGCTTCACAGAGCTGCCTCCGGGAACCCCAGAAGAAGGGTCTTTGCAGGCAGGGCTCTTCAAGGAACCTGGTAGCAGGAGCCTCGCCCCCGAGCCCCAGGACCTGCCAGCACAGCCCCCTCCTCCCAATAAATGCCTGTCTTGCATAACTTAGCAACCTGGTGTCTCTTGCTTGTAGCCAACCAACAGTAATTGTCACGATGCCAGAAGCACCGTTGGTGACACAAATTGCCTTCATTCAGTGTCATTTCGGTGGTACTAATATTTTTAAACCAATTCTGTTTCTACTTTCCTCTTAAACAAAAAATCTAGATAGCCATTTTGAGATGCCTAATAAGGCAGAAATTGACGAAATATGGGACAGTCCTACAAAGCGAAGATTAAAAAGCTATACCTTATTAATTCTTGTTTTAAAGGGTAAGAGGTGCATACATTTTTATCTTATCATTCAGTTCCCACCATCAAACGTGTTAGCTTCCCCCCACCCAGCACTGGCTCTCTAGAACTTCCATAAGCTGAGCTTCTCTGAACTCAGCTGGGTCTGGGCCTCCATCTATTAATCAGCAGGTGCAAATACGCTGCAAAGCATTACCGTCTATTCCATATTTTATAGACCTATCACGAGTCACTTCATTAAATGCTTTTGTAAACATGATCTGCAATGTCCACAGAATTTCTTAAATCTTTCCCAAGTATCACGAGAAAGGAAATAGAGTTGCTCGGCATTCTTTGTTCCTAGGGAACCCATGGGAACCTTACAAACAACTGTTTTCTTTTCAATGTACTTATAAACTCTCTGAATAAATATCTGTCCTACAACTTAGGTCCTGTGACAGTATCCCATAATATCCAGATTACTATCCCAAACTTCTGACCATGGCAAGTGAAGCCCCCACTAAATGGCCTCTGCCTAAAGCTCCAAGTTCGTCACAGACCTTCCCCGCACCCCCGGGACTCCCCTCCCCTCCTCATCTTCCTCAGCTGCCCCAGCGGCCCCCAGTCCCTCCTGCATGCCTGGCCCCCTCTCACCTCGGGACCTCGCACTGCCCTGCCCTCTGCCTGGAACTCCCCTCCAATCTCCAGGGCTGGCTCCAGGTTTCAGGTGAAACGTGACCACTTTGAAAAGGCTTTTGCAGGTCATTGGACCTAAAGAGTCCCCTGCCCCCACCTGCTCTCTCATGGCTCCCTGTTCAGTCCTGCCTTGCAAAATATATTATTTATGTTTTGCTTTCTTATCTGTGGCCTCAACTACAACATAAGCGCCACAAGAGCAGGGATTTGATGGCTCGGGCGCGTAGGGCATGCTGTGAACGCGAGGAGGTGAGGAGGCAGAGAGGCAGGAAGGGGGACGACACTTTCTGAGGCATCCCCGGCCCTTCAGCTGGCTGGTACTTTCTGGAAGCTACGTTTTCAAAAACTAGGAAGTTGTCTGCCCTTCCCTAAGCTTTCTGATCATGACAGTAGAAGTGACCCTCAGGGGCAAAGCCAAGTTTTGTGGGACCTTATACAGTTTAGGGATCCTCTTTAAGAAAATGAATATGAAATTATGAACATAACACCAGGTATGGAAGTGCATATTGATTTAAAATGAGAAAAGAAACCACAGTGTCTTGGAAACTCAGTCCCTGTTTCCTGGATCTCTCTAGGCAAGTTGTCGGAAAGGCTAGAACAGAAGGCTTCCTGAGGGGGCCCGGCCTTTACTGCCCACCCAGAACCCTCTCCAAGCCCAGGGGCCCCCAGAACTCACCGGAGTCCAGGCACGCGAGAGACCCAGGGGCCAGCACTCAGCTGGTTTTGCAGCAAGGCTGCCCCACATTTATAAAACGCTCTGCCCCGGGCATGCTCTGTCTGCACGCAGATGACCACACTGAACCCTCCCGGCCACCCCAGAACAAACCCCACTGGTGAGCAAGCCCACATCCCGGACGGGGAAACTGCCTCGGAGCTGGCAGTGTTCTCAGCGGTGCCCACCGACCAGTCCAGACACGTGCGCATGCCCCAGGAGGCGGCCACCTTCTCAGGAAAAGGTGGACTCGAAAGGACAGGTCCGAGGCGGTCCCCACCTCCCCATCGACCTTGCACTCTGATTCCCTCTCAACATTGTTCTTCATTAATCATTTGGTTTCCAAGCTGCAGCCAGCCCACTTTTTTAAATTTCCTAACCACACTTCTAACATCTTTGTTTGCTTTCATGATTTCTGTTTGCAGTAGATCTTAATTCAGTGTCCTCCCAAGTCTCTCTAGCATGCCCCTTGCTCCCTCTTGCGAATCACAAAGGCAGATACATTTAAGGATGTTAAATTATGTCTTCAGGATGAGACTGAACTGCGAGCGGACGGGGGTGGCAGATGACCCAAACATGACACAAGATAAAACCTGGTCAAGGACAGTTTCACTTCTTCATGAGAGAAGGGAAAATAAAAACCACACTGCAAACCATCGCTCACTGGACACGGCGGCTGGAGTCAGGAGCACGGCTAACTCCCTGTGCTGGGGAGGCCCTGGGGATGGGTACCACCCCCCACTCTAGGCACACAAATTGGCACAACCTTGCTGTCTATCAAAATTTAAATTATTTACCCTTGGACTCAACAACTCTCCTCCTAGGGATTTGTTTATAGATGTGTATATTGACATGTACACTCACACATGTGCAAAGAAATGAATGCCCATGTTATTCACTGCACTGTGATTTCCAAAAGGGACATGTTTTAAACAGTCTGTGTGTCCATCCTTAGGGTCTGGGTTAAATAAACCATCATACAGCCATACAATGGGGTACTATAAAGCTGGGAAAAGGAGTAAATAAGCACTTTATAGTCAAATACAAAAGGCACCACCAGATATCTATATTGAAAAGAGATTCTAGAAACAGGCATTCAACAGTACATATAGTTGGATGGCTTTTCAGCTACAAAAGGGAAAAAATTAATTCTGCTATTTAAATGAACAAAAGCATCACATGAAGAATAAATGAGAAACACTTATAACAGTGGCTCCAAGTTTTGTTTTCAGAATGCATGGGAATCAGGACAGTAGAACTATTTTCTAGTACTAATCTTTTTTACCATTTTTCCATTTTTTGATCCATGTGACTGGTTTACTTCATCAAAATTTAAAATTTGAAATTAAATGGGTCACCTCACACTCACATTTTTACTATAAAAAAGAGGAAAAGAAAATAACAAGTGCTGGTGAGGATGTGGAGAAACTCAAAATTTTGTGCCCTGTTATGGCAAAACAGTAGTCAGTGTGGAAGATAATATGGCATTTCCTCAAAAAATAAAAAATAGAATTACCGTATGATCCAGCAATTCTACTTCTGGGTGAAACTGAGTACCCAAAAGAATTGAAATATCCAACAGAATTGAAAGCAGGGTCTCAAAGGGATATCTGCACCCCAGGGTTCATAACAACATTATTCACAATAGCTAAAATGGGAAAGTAACCCACACGTCCATTGATAGATGAACGGACAAGTGAACGTGGTCTATCTGCACAGTGGAGTCGTGTTCAGCCTTAAGAGGGAAAGCAATTCTGATGCATCCTACGATGCGCATGAACCACAAGCACACGGTGCCGAATGAAACGAGACGACCACAGAGGGGCAGACGCTGTAGGAGTCCGCGTACACAAGGCATCTAGAAAAGTCAGAGTCACAGACACAGGAAGTAGAATGGCGGTGGCTGGGGGCCCAAGGGCGGTAGGAGGAATTATTGAATTACTGTTTAATGGTCATAGAGTCTGAGTTGTACCGGATGAAGAGAGTTAATGGGAGTGGCTGACAGTGATGGCTGCATAACATTAAGAATGTATTTGACACCACTGAGATGCACAGTCAAAAATGCCTAAGATGGTAATTGTATTATGCACATTTTACCACAATAAAAAAGTTGAGAAAAAAACAAACGGAGAGACTAGTGATTGAACCATTCCACACCCTAGTCCTCAAAACACTATTACTGGCCAATAGTCATCACTTGAAGGCTGATAACGGTATCAGAAAGCCGTAAGAGTCTTTTCATCATGCCAAAATGTATCAGATCTAAGGAAGAGGATCCTGTCAGTTATAAGTTGGTGAATTCAATGTTCTCAACAAAGAATCTATTGAGGGCGATGATGGTGCTCTTTTAAGCAGATAACTCATTTTGTCTGCGCAGAATCCTTTACTCCCTTCACCTCGTGATGATATCCTTCTCTTATTTCCAAGATCTGCCCCTCCATCACCTTGTGGACTTAGCTCACCTTTACCATCCCAGAGTGGGTACGTGGCTCGGGCTGGCCAACGAGAGCCCGCTGGCTTGGACCACAGCAATCAGCCTGTGGTAGGGCCACGACCTGTACAGCCGACTGAAGTCCCTATTCCAGGAAAGGGAGACAAAGGCTCTCATCCCTGCTGAGCCTGTGGACGTGAAAGACCCCTACGCCTGG